CCGCAACCTCCCTATCGACCCTGCCTTAAGTGTGACAGGGAGCGGTGCCCCAACCCCCCAATCGGCCCTACCCTGAGCATGACTAGGGGTGGCATTGCAACCTCCCAATCCGCCCTGCTCTGTGCATGACAGGGGGTGGCGCCCCAACCCCCCAATCGGCCCTGCTCTGAGCCCGACCAGGGGCTGCACCTAGGGATTGGGCCTGTCCTCTGCCTCCTGGGAGCAGGCCTAAGCCAGGAGGTCGTTATCTCCCGAGGGGTCCCAGACTGCGAGAGGGCACAGGCCGGGCTGAGGGTCCTCCTCTCCCCCCTGAGTGCACAAATTTTTGTGCACCGGGCCTCTAGTTTATTATAATACTAGAGGCCCGGTACACGAAATTTGTGCACTCGGAGGACCAATTGATGGCTGTCAAATATCCTTAGCGTTGCTGCAGAGGTGAGAAGCAAGAGAGGCTCCCGCCTCCACCGCTGTGCTCACCAGCAGTGAGCCCAGCTTCTGGCTGAGCTGCACTCCCCCCCGACCCCCCGTGGGAGTGCACTGACCACCAGGGAGGGGGCAGCTCCTGAACTGAGCGTCTGCCCTCTGGTGGTCAGTGCACATTATAGCAAGCAGTTGAGCAGCCTTAGCATATCATTAGCATATTACGCTTTGATTGATTGAATAGCCGACAGGATGACCAGATACTTAGCATATTAGGCTTTTATTATATAGGATTCATGTATTTATTAACCATCTAAGATGTGTAAAACTGTGCTTTTTATTAGGTACCGATCTTTATTGTTGTGTGTCATTGATGAAATTTTGATATTGTGCCTCCATACCTGTTGTCCCCATAAACCTTAAGGTTTTTTTAATTTCACAAATATGCACAACAGTGATATTTAGAACACAGAAATACCACTTTCAACAGACATTAAACACAGTATTTTATAATTTAGATCAGGCTACTTAATTTTAATTTAGTAATACTTACCTCTTAGTCGAAAATGGAAAATAGCACTTCAGAGTTTCTAATCTCAGAAGTTTTCCTTTTAAAAAACTGCTAAAATATATTATTACCTAAACACAGCTCCTTTAACTATTAACATATTCTCTTTGGCTTATGTTTTGAGAAATAAGCAAAAGCACAATAATTTAACTTACAGCCTAAGTTAATTTCATTCCAGATACCAGAAGTCTTCATATTTCAAATACATATTTAATTTAACCTAAAGAGAATCCACTGGTGTGGCTATACCACCCCCCCCTTCCCCCCCACCAAGTAAACCAGTATTTGGCAACGACCTGAATGAAATTATCCTGATGTTTTGATATTAAAACATTTCACTAAGACCAATTAGAATCTAAGTAATCTTTTAAGAAGAACATTAACTGTAGAAGCACAAAATTGTTCTTTACTATGACATAAAAAAAATTTTTTTTTCTGGAGGGGGGTTGTAAAACCCAACCAGGATTCATTCCTAGAATTATTCTTTAAAAATTTATTATGAGATAGCAAAAAAGATTCTAAGGAAGTGACTATCCCGCTTAGACAGGGAGAACATAACACAAGCAGTGATAATTAGAAAGCAATTTGTCTTTCCCCCTCTACTAAAAAAGCTTACTTTAGTCAATACCTGATAAAGCCTTCTTTATAAGATTCCATTACATAACAAAGTAATTTAGGAAACTATTTTTTATTTTTTTTACTGCAAGCAAGGTATCTAATTTTCTAAAGTAAAACAAGAAAATTAAAAACAAACATTTTATTCTGGTAATTATTTTATATAAAAACTAGAGGCCCGATGCATGAAATTCGTGCAAGGGGCTTGGCCCCCGCCACCGAGGCAGCTGCTTCAGCCTCAGCCCCGGCCCGCCATAGCTCCATCCAGAAGGATGTCTGGAAGGATGTCCGGTCTAATTAGCAGATTACCCTTTTTTATTATAGATGTAAAATAATAAGTACATGTAACTAACATGAAAGAAAAAAAGTTTTGGTTAGGGAAAAAACTAACCTTTCTTTAGCTAGTTAATGTTTACTTATATTAGTAACTTTAACTAGCCAACATTTAATGGCATTTTTTCTAAGCCAAATATTTGTGATGAAAAAAATGCCAATGCTGACTTTGCACCTTCTTTGGAATATTACAGAAAGACTCTCATAGCCAGTACCAAAGATGAAAACTGCTGGTTTCCACAGTTTTCTAACACCTCAGGCAATCTGCACTTAAACAGATTGCCTGAGGTGCTAGAAAACTGTGGCTGGCTGTAGTATGGTGCCTCTATCACCATTATCAGGTCAATAAGACCAAGAGTACTTCTTTGCCTGCAAGAAATCAAGAACAATAAAATTTCACATAGTCTGATGCTGCCTACTTCCTTTAGCTTGAAGCTATATACAAAAACATTACAGCTTCAGAGCTGTAATTATTTGTTTCTCCCAAATCAGCACCAAGAAAGTGAAAGCATTATCAAATTTGCATTTGTACCTTAAATGCAGATGTTCCTGGTAGGATCAAACCTAAACATAAGGCTCGAGAGTTTACTACTGAAAATAAACTACCTCTAGGTTACTTGTAGGAGGTTGGCTAGAAATCACAAGTTTCAGTACCAGAGTCCTCAACCCCATTCCCATGCCTTTTCCTCCTCTAAGCTACCAGAGTAAGTTCAGTGGCATCAGTCAGCTATTCAGGCTGAACGGCACGGATATTCATGGTACACAGAGGCAGAGGATCTGAAGCACAGAATTTCTGCAAGCTACGAAAGATCATGTAGTTACACTGACGACTTCAGTTTATAAATAAGTAGAAGGCCCAGTGAAATTGATGGACCTGCCCAAGATCATACATTAGCAAGATATTTTTTTGACAAAACATATATCTGGGTTAAAACCCAGTTCTCTGCCTTAACCAGGTGTCTCAGGTGGTTGCAGCATCATCCCGTGCATCAAAAGGTTGTGGGTTCAATCCCCAGTTGAGGCACATGCAAGAGGCAACCAGTCAATGTTTCTTTCCCCTTACTCTCTTCTCTGGAAATCAATGAAAATTTATCCTCAGGGTGGTTCGTTCTGTGGTGCAGTTTAAATTAAGAGGCATACAACGCTTAGGAAACTAAGGAAAGCCTATTGAGAACAACAGGGTTTGTCATGAGGCAGGTCAGATTCCCATTTGACGGGCAGCCAATCAATGAAACAGACACACTTGCACAGTTGGAAATGGAGGAAGAAGATACAATTGATGTGGTCCAGCAGCAGACAGGAGGGGGTCTACTAAAAAGGAACCTATTTTACTCCAGAACTCTGTGCCTCCAGACCAAGAAGACATTCTCAATTAGAAAACTGCAATTTGGTTTCAACACTTCTGACTGCTAGAGTACAGTTTTCTCTATTCTTTCATTTTCCCTTTTCCCATTCCTTTATCGTACATAAAGTAACTGATGTACATGCACAAGCATTTGCATTTTTTTTTAACTAGATGGGCAATGGCATGTTTTGATTGACAACAAATGGAGATGGGATGGGAAAAATACTGGTTCTGTGAAGCATCCCCTTTCTCCATTAGTGGCATGATCATTCAGCTCTTATCTTTATATTACAGCAAGTTATTTTGCTCTCAGTTTAATAAAAAAAATCATAAAAATTCTTGCATACCTGGTTTGGAGAATTTTAATGCTTTTCATTTATCATTGTTAAAACCACGAACAATTTTATAACTTTTTTGTATGTAGCTGTTAAATGTAGGGGCAATCTGTCTTTAAGTAGGGATAAATTACTCTAAAAATTAATCCTAGTTTTCCCTTCAAGTCAAGTGTCATGTTGTTTAAATAAACTTGTTTAAAAAAAATTAACATGATTTTTTAAGAGTCTCTGATCACCAAAAGATCATTAAAACCAGTACTTTTTGCTTTTGTTCAGGAGTTTGTTGATTCTTATTAATTTAATATGTAATCCTTATCAGAAATTCTCTGCATCTATAAGAAGCAGCAAACAGACAATAATGGTAGTGGGAAGTATAAGTATAAGCTAGAACCTGAAAATCATTTAAATTCAGTATGACCACAAGTTATTGCCAATAAAATGTTATATTTTGTTCAGCAAGGAAATAGATTTTAAATATTTAAGTAGATTTTAAATCTTGCATGTGCCTCAAGATTTTAAATACTGAGATTTAAAATGCTCTAGAACATCTTAAGAAAAAATATACTGTGGAAACTAGAAAAGCTTCAGAAAAAATTTACTAAGTTTTGTAATTTTAAAGAAAGATCATACTAAGAAAATATATATAAAACTCAGGCAGCTTTGCTTAAAAACCAGGAGGCATATGTCATTACATATAGGATAGAAAATGATCTAGATACTTGACAAGGACATTTAATCAAGTCATGATTCTAAAATAAAAGATGACATACTTATAGGAGTATGTCATAGGCCTTTAAGATTTAGGTAAGTTTCTCCTATATATTTTATTCAAAGGGGTATAAGCAGTTAACCACCCAAAGAATTTAAAAAAAACAAACACGAAAATGATACAAGAGTGAAAATTTTAAACTATAGTTCATAGTTTATCATGAACAGGGCAATAATGTGTCTTACATAAACTTGAAGCTTTGGACTAAAGATATTCTCAAGCTGAATTATATATGTTATATATGAAAGCTATATCAAAAATAATATTAGTTGTCAAGTAAGTATTTTAAATACAAAAATTAAGAGGTATAGAAACAAAGCTCCAGAAGTTTTTAATAAAAAGAAGGAAATGTCTAGGCACATAAAAAGACCCCTCACTGAGGAGAGACAGGTAACAGTGGAAGAGGACCACAGAATTAGAAACGACTGTCAAATCAGAGCATTGCTCCTAAGCTAAGGGCATTGCTCTGTTATGACATCCTATTGGCCATGGGGTTTGTTGGCTATTTATGCTAGATATTCAATGAACTTGAATATTTCCAACTAGATGTCACTGGTTTATAGAAGATACACACTCAAACTTTATAAAGAAAATAAACTAAGACGCCAAACTTGCTTCACAGAAATTCACATTTTAATTAGTTCATTTTATAAATAATTGCATTCCTTAAAAAAAAAGACTGTCATATTTTAAAGAAATATATTTTTAAGTACAGCTCGTACACTAGTTTCAGAACAAATCACTGTGCTAACTGGTCCTTTCCTATTTCTGCCCTTGCCATGTCATCAAAAAGAAAACCCAGTGGTTCCTTGTCATTGGAATTTTTCCATCTGATATTAAAAGCACAAACTGATGTGTCAGTTTTAAGTATTCATCATTAAAACCTTTATAAGCACACTAATATAATAGGTATGCATTGTAATAAGGGTCTTTTTTTTCATTTTACCATTCTTTTGACTTTTACAGGGCAAAAAGCAAATAAGAGAATATGTAATTGATCTTACAGCGTGAAGAATATCAAAACAAAATGGGGAAATGATACATTTGCCATTGGTAAACAGAAATTTATCAAAAGACAGAGAAAAATATAGTGTGATAGGGGAAAGTATATCAGTTAAACTAGAATATTCAAAATGAAATAAAGATTATGATTTGACAATGCCGATCAAAAAACAATATAATAATTTTTTTAATCTAAAGGTTGAATTCAAATTTTAAAATTTCTATTTGAGGGCAACATATTCTAAAGTCAAGAAAACACAACACCAGGTAAAACACTTACGTTGAAGACAGTGCTTTAAATTTGAAACTATAATTAGATCACCATTAAGTTTTCTTGCCAAAGATGGAATCATTTGTCCAAAGGGAAAGAAACAAGTTATCTGATTATAATAGTCTTAGAAAATACAAATTAAATTTTCACTTATGGTATGAAATTTGTTAAATCAACTCATTTAATATGATGCTGAGCTCAATTTTTCAGTTGTTTAAATAACAGTGTTAAATAATAGTATAGCACAACCAAGAAAACTGTAACTATTTGAGAAGATTAAAATGTCAGTTGTAAACATATTTCATGTAGATTTAAAAAAAAAAAAATGTTCATTGAAAAACTCCTGAATAGGAAGCCAAGAGAACAAACCCATAACCCAGTTTGAAAGATAAGAATAAACATGCAAACTGTTAAGCAAAGTCAGGAATATTGATTACTTTGAAACATCTGCTAATATCCATTTTAATGAAGAATTAAGGGATACAATGCGTTAAAGACATATTTAAAAGACTAGTAGTGAGATAAGGCAAATGAATCAATTTTTTAATATACTAAATAATTACAAGAGACTTTGAGAATGTAGTGTTATTTATGGTTTCTTTCCAGTTTACAAATTTCTATCCACTGCCTCTATCTTTGGTGTCACTGCCACCAATAAACACAGTATACAGTTTATAAACCTAATTACTACCTTCAACTAGGAAAAAGTAAATCAACATTATTTCTTTAAAAATAAGATATAAAGAACATGATCCTAACTTAATTTTGTGTCATGGTCCCACAATATTCTGAAATATCATGCCAAAATGTAAAAGTTTCCAAGGGAACATTATTTGTTATAACTGCACCAAAAATTTAGCTACTGTATGCTGGTGTGATGACAGCTAGTAGTATGCAGAGGCTACAGAAAGACATAATGTACATATGTTTAATTCACAATCAGTAAAAGAAAGTTCAGTTTAATGTAAAACAAAACACTAATATAATACTTTCATGTAAATATGCTACAGCTTTGTTCTCTTACACTTTAAAAGGATAGTGTAATTACCTTAAATTTACACAAAACATTATGAAACATGGTAGTTGTTCATGATTAAAATAAAATAGCAATGTAAATTAATTTAACAGTGTTAAATATATTCACATGATCACCATTGTGATTCAAAAATGGCCACTAATGAAGTTACACAGCAATATATGTACATAATATTTGCCACAACAATTTTTGTTAAGTTTGACTTCTTGCAGACCAGGTAATTTTATGAGACAAATAATCTTATATCAATTCTTTCATATGATGAAAAGAATTAAATGTTGTAAGTAGTTTCATTCCTCTGGGGGGGGGGGGGGGGGGGGGAGAGAACCTCTGAAAAGTCAATGCAAACTGAAGAGAGTTCTACCTTCTTGACAACATAATCTTGAATATTTGAACTTGTTGACCACGACAGATTCCTATAAGCTGAGGATAAACAAACCTTAAGATATCAAAAGAATCTCTAACATTGTCAGCGGCATTTAGCAGATCAAAGAGGAATCCCAAATCCTATAGCAGAGCCTTCTGAGAATATGGTTGCTGTGGCTGAGGTGGCTGTTGACTGCCTCCTGGTTGAGGCAGTGCTGATGATGTTAAACTATAGTTTGGCACATGGGACATATTAGTTCCTGCATTCTGGTATATAGTGACATCAGCAGTAGCAGCAGCAGGAGGAGGACTATATACTGACGCCTGGCTGGGATATGTATTTCCTTGAACAGAACTGACCATTGAGCTGTGGAAGGGAAAAAACACTCAAATCAATATTGACTAACTTACCCATTTAGAGCTAAACAGGAAGCTATTCATTAAATACCCATTCAGTAAATATTTATTAAATACCCGTAATGTGTCAAATATTATGTGTCAAATGTGCTATTTTAGGCACTGGGATATAGTAAAAAAAAAAGGGGAGGGGAAAAAATTCCCACCATCATGAAGTTACATTCTAATTCTAGTAGAAGAAAAAAAGATAAACTAATTTATAATATGTCAAGCGGTAATAACTGGTGTGAAGAAAAATAAAGCATATTAGGAGGCCCAAGAGTTCCCGAGAGAAGAGATTCTGGCTTTTACAGTGTGGTAGGGGAAGGCATTTCAGATAAGGGAAAAATTTAAGCAGAGACCTGAAGAAGTGAGAGAGGGAGTCATGCTGATTATATAGGAATATAAGCTGATCAAGCGAAAAGAATGGCAAGCACAGAATCCTTTGAGAAAACGAAATGCCAGGCATGTTCAAGGACCAGAAAGGAGGCCATGCTGGCAGAAGCAGAGTGAGAAAGGAGGAAAGTCGCATAAGATAATAAAGTGGCAGAATTTAAGGGGAGAGGAGCCTTAGATAAACAGTGCCTTGGAGGCCATGCTAAGGATTCTGGATTATATTTGAGTGAGATGGAAAGACACTGATTCTGGACAGAAGAATGATGTGATTTGACTTAGGTTTTAACAGACTCACTGTGGGCCGAGGATATGCAAGGATATCTGACTGAAGGCTTTTACAATTGTCCAGGTAAGAGCTGACAGGTGGCTAGTGCCATGATAGACTTGGTGAAAAGAAGAAATGTATGATTTTGAAGGCATTACTATCCATGCTAATTGGTAGAGTGGTCAAGAATGCCTGAGGTTTTAGAACTGAATGATTGGAAGAAATAACTGGTAGAGTGGCCATTCACTAAAAAGATGACAGATGGCAGATAAGGACTACAATAAATTTGGGGAAGGAGAATCAAAATACGTTTTGGACATGTAAAGTGAGATATCTAGGAAGATATTCCATGGTCAGCTACTCAAGTCTAGAGACCAGTGAAAAGTTAGGAACAGAAATACATATTTGGGGGTCATCATCATACACCTGGTGTTCAGAGTTGTGAGCCTGAATAAGACCCCCTAGGGAATGACTACAGAGAAAAAAGCAGTCCATATTTTGAGTCCTACTCTAGAAGTCAAAAAGGCAGAGAAACACTAGGCAAAGAAGATTGAGGAGAGGCAATAAATTGGAAGAAAAACTAAGAGAGAATGGTCAAAGTCAAGTGAAGAAAGTGTTTCAAAAAGGAAGTGACCACTGGATCTGGCGATATGGAAATCATCAGTCCTTGACAAGAGGTGGACTAGGAAAGATGAAAGCTTCATAACCTTGCTTCTCTTACTGCCCTGAAAATGAAAAGCAAATAAAAGAGACCTTCCATCTACTCCCACCATCTCATTCATCAGCTATCTGTTCCTACGCCCATTCATCTGCTGTGCCTTCTCTCCTGCTAAAACTCATCGGCTGTCAGTCTCCCTTGCAAGGTGCCCTCCACTTGGGCACTGCTCTCATTCCACCAAAAACATTCCTTCAGGGCTGTCTTTATTCGCTGTCTCTGCTTTCTCTCTTCCCATTTCCGGTCTGATATTTGAGTTTTTCCCATATATAGGACACTAGCATAGCTATATACAGAGAAATACTAACAGCTTTAACACTGAGATTCCCCGCCCCCCCCCCAACACACACACACACATTTCTGTTAAAAATGTAAAAATAAATTATAAATTGGGCAATTTTCAAAATACTGCCTATTTCTAAACTCTTCAATTGCTAGACTGTTTATAAATCAATTGCTGGTAAACTCAATGCCCTTGCATTCTGCACAGATTAAACAATTCGTTATTAAAGTTGACAGTCTTTTAGTGCTACATTCCCCCCACTAATGTAGTCCCTTAAGTACAATAAACCCTCAATTTTGAGGATCTCGATTTAATGAACTTTGGATTTAATGGAAAAAATTTCTGGTCTGTATGTATGTCATATGTGAAAATTAACACCCTGTTAATATTAAAATTGTAAACCAAGATTTGCTTATAATTAAATTAACAACTGACTTAGAGTTAACAACTTATGTTGTTAATTCACTGTTATTTTTAACAAATTTTAGTTAATAGGTCCTATGTTCAGAAACACTGTAGTAATTTCACCGACATAAATAAATATTACATAATTACAGTCTACATATTTAAATCCAAGAGTTAGCGCTGGCAAACATGTTAGGGACTGATCAGCACATGATCACACTGCGCAGTAACTGGTTCTGCTGTCATCTGGCCTGACTTTCTGCAGCACTTCCGATGTGAGCTAAGCCGCGCCCCAGCCGTGTGCATCTGTTTATTCGCGGTGACTGGTGAACGCAAGCTTTTACTAGATGTATTCAGTATAAATTTAAAATTACAGTAATACATACAGAAAGCTTTTGTGTGAAATTAAACTTTTCATACATAGTAAATTTTAATTACACAAACATGTCTACATAAGTAAAAACAGGTAAACTAATTTGCCAATTTTTTTACATATACATTTGGAAAACCTACTTCATTATATAATGGACTTGGGCTTTAATGGGCACCCCCTCGCCTGTATTAGTCCATTATACCGAGGTTTTACTGTAATGCTGAAAGGCATCACTCATTATCATTCTATATGTGTTACTCTGTAAGATAAAAAGTATTACAAGAAGTCAGATTTTATGTTCTTATTTACATCGATAAGGACCACAATACAGCTACACTATAATGTTGTGACAAAGTGCTAAGCTCTGGAGCCAAAATGCCTGATTTTGTATCTTAGCAAAGTGGTACCTTAGTCCTCCCTCCATACTCAGTTTTCCCATCTAATAACATGGGACATCCCAATAAATGTTCGCCATTACTGTAATTATTCACGCTTTATACTATATTCCTTATCTCAACTTACAGTCCCACCATTCACCCAGTTGCCCAAGGGCAAAACCCAGCAATTCACCACTACTCTCCCTTATATCTGCTCTGCACTATCACCCCAGCCTGTCATCTACATGCAATCATTTCCTAATCTCCATAATTACTCTTTTTTCATCTTTATCATTATGTCTTGCAGTTAGAACTCATGATTTCTTGTCTAATATACAAAGTCTCCCAGCTTCTAACACAGCAACTATGAATTCACCAATCTTATTGCCATTTAAATCCCCTTGGAGGCTTTTCCAAGACACAAGCTCCTTAACATGATATCTAGGACCAGTCATTATCTTTAACAATAACTGCAAGTACATCTCTCACATCTTCCACCATAGACTTTAATCCTTTGGTAATATGTCTTTTCACAACTCCCCATTCCACAGTACCATGCCATTTCATGCTGCTATATATTTGCTCATGATAGAAACCTTCCTTACTTTTTCCTCCACACTAAGAATAACAACTTGAGAATATGCTCTTCGAAACCTTCCCTGGATCTTTAAGTTCCTAAAGCACCCGCATGTACCTTTATTTGTAATTTATATTTTCATTGCAATTTCTTTGTATGGTTGCCTCTACTAACCAGTAAGTACACAGAGGCTAAGAAACTCTAAGTCAGTGGTCAACTAATATGACCAGGGAGCCAGGAATACTCAGTAGAGAATGAATAGTCTCTTCCACAAGTGACGCTGGAAGAACTAGATAACTACATGCAGAAGAATGAAATTGAAGGCCTGTCTTACACCACTCACAAAAAGAAGAACTTGAAGTGGATTAAAGACCTTAATTTAAGACTGGAAACCATAAAATCCCTACCCGAAAACATAGGGAAAAGGCTCCTTGACAATCATCTCAGCAGCAATTTTCCTGGATGTGACAGCAAAGGCACAGGAAATGAAAGCAAAAGTCAACAACTGAGATTACATCAAACTAAAAAGTTTTTGAACAGAAGAAACAATAATATATTAAAACACAACCAGTGAATAAAATATCTGTAAGTCATATATCTAATGAGGGGTTAATACCAAAAATATATAAAGAACTCATACAACTCAATAGTAAAGAAACTAACTACTAGATAAAAAATAGGCAGAGGAAATGAATACACAATTTTCCAAAGAAGACATACAAAAGGCCAATAGGTACAAGAAAAGGTGCTCAACAAAATAAGCCAGTCGCAGGGGATAAGTATCACATGATCTCACTCATTTGTAGAATATAATGAACAACATAAAGTGATGAACAAAAATAGAATCAGAAACACAGAAGCATCGAACAGACTGTCCAACCTATGAGGGAAGGCAGGGAAGGAGGAGGAGGAGTAAGAGAGCAACCAAAGGACTTGTATGCATGCATATGAGCATAACCAATAGACACAGACAGTAGGGGGGTGAGGGAATGTGCTGGGAAATGAAGGTGGCCTGAGAGAGGTCAATGGTGGAAAAAGGAGACTCACGTAATAATTTAAACAATAAAGAATTTAAATTAAAAAAAGAAAAGAAAATGTGCTCAATATCACTAATTATAGGGGAAATGCAAATCAAAACCAAAATGAGGTATTACCTCACACCTGTCAGAATGGCTCTCATCAAAGACAAAAGATAAGTGTTGGCAAGGATGCAGAGAAAGGGAACCCTTATGCAGCACTGGTGGAAATGTAAATTGGTACAGCCACCTGGAAAACAGTACGGAGGTTCCTCAAAAAACTAAAAATTAGCCCAGCCTATGTGGCTTAATGATTGAGCATCAACCCTTGAAAGAAGAGATCACCAGTTTGATTCCTGGTCAGGGTACATGCCTGGGGTTGCAGGCTTGATCCCCAGTAAGGGGCGTTGCAGGAGTCAGCTGAACCATGTTTCTCTCTTATCAATGTTTCTATCTCTCTAAAATTAACAAAAACATATTTTTAAAAGATGAAAGTTCCATATGACTCAGCAGTCCCATTTATGAGTATATATCCCAAAGAACTGAAATCAGGATCTTTAGGAAATCTGCACCCCCATGTTCACTGCAACATTACTCAAAACAGCCAAAATATGGAAACAACCTGAGCATCCATCAACAGATGAATGGGTAAAGAAGATGCAGTGTATGTGTACGTGTTCATTCTCATTCTCTCTCTCTCTCTCTCTCTCTCTCTCTCTCTCTCTCTCTCTCTCTCTCCCCCTCCCTCCCTCCTTCCCTCTCTCTCTCTACTGTCCCTCCTTCCCTCCCTCCCTCCCCTCCCCCTCTCTGGAATATTATTCAGCCACAAGAAAAAAGAAAATTCTGCCATTTGTACAATTTGGATGAGACTTGAGGGCATTACGCTAAGTAAAATAGAGAAAGAAATACTATACTACCTCACATGTGGAATCTAAAAAGGACGAATAGTAGAATGTTGGTTAGAGAGTGGGGAAAATGGGGAGATACTAGACAAAGGGTACAAACTTCCATTTATAAGATGAAAAAGTTTAGGAATCCAATGTACAGCATAGTGATTTTCCCTAATAATACTATTATCATATACTTGAATGTTGCTCAGAATAAACCTTAAATGTTCTCACCACACAAAAAAAGAAATAGTAACAACATGACAGGATGAAAGTGTTAGCTAATGCTATGGTGATAATCATTTTACAATATAGAAATGTATCAAATCAACAAGTTGTACATCTTAAATTTTCATAATGTTTTATGTCAGTTGTGTCTGTGGGGAGAGGAAGAAACACACACTTGTATGTCAAGTGTCTAGCATAGTGTCTGGCACAGACTAAATGTTCAATAAACACCTGTTTAACAGAGTAGTCTGAAATAATAGACAAGTAAGTACATAGCTTTGGTCACCTGAGTACTACCATCATCACCATTCTAGGTGAGTTTAGGAAACTGCATCCATTCTACCTTCCCTAATTATCAGTAAGATCATACTAAGGTTATTACATAGTCTGGAAAAGTAAGAACCCTAGAACCAAAATTATATGTAAAAGAATAAGAAATTGCCTCCTAGATATGAACTAGGGCCACTAAAAAAAAAAAAAACTGCCCACCAAAATGGGGAAAAAATTCCTCATTGACCTTGATCTGCAATTAGAAAGCTTGAGTCAAATACAGCTGTTGGTATGGGAAATAATACAATAATTAATAAATAATAATATAAGAATAAAATCTGTGTTTTGTATACTCACAATTGTAAATCTATTTTTGCCCCACCCTGTTCTTTTATATTATGTTATACATTTATATGTTTTTAAAAACTGCCTCAAAGCCTTTGTGAAGCCTCTGTAAATAATTTAAAAATATATCTCACTAGCCCAACAAAGCACTTCAAATTCCTATCTTAAACATTTATTTATCAAGTATTTACTGAGTTCTTATCAAGTATAAAACTCTGTTATACAATAGATATAAAGGTTAAAGAAATTTGATCCCACCTCTCAAGATATGATAGCTTAGTGGGGATACAGACTAGTCTAAAGGTGATTACAAGACAGTACACAGTAGGCTGGGGTCCTGTGACAGCAAGAGAGCAGGAACAGTGTTTGGAGTGTGGGAAGGTGTTCTAGTAAAGAGAAAGCTAGGAACCAATAAATAGGAATTAGCCAGACAAAGAGGGCTAAAGATGTCAAGGAAAAAGCACCTGCTGAAGTGCACATGTGTTTCTTGAGAGGTGATGTTAATAGCCACACAGGATCAGTAGAGTTAGGCCCTGGACTACAGTGCATGCCCCGCATCAGATATTTCACATCCAAGCTATGGAAGCAGACAGAACAATGCCCAGAAAACAGCAACAAGGTGTTACAGCTATCATTTACAAGGAAATTTCTCAAGGCCCTGAACTAAGAATGGGTCTCAAGGAACAAGGAACAAGGCAGCTACAGCAGCATGCGACACAGTAACAGAGGACCAGCTGGGAAAGAGGCAGCATTTCTGGATGACACTAAAATACCTAAGAGATTCCTACATAACTCATGCACAATGGCTGATTGCTCAACAATACCTACCCCTACTCACTTTCTATCTGGTTTTTAAGACAGTATGCTAACAATAGCTGCTCCCCACCTGTTTGCTTCTTTTCCATGTAAGGGTATTCGTTTCACCAAATTTCAGCTTAAAAAAAAAAAAGTCCTGGGGCAGAAAGAGTTATACCTAACATTTTTTTTCTGAGCTACTTTCAGTAGAGAGTATCCTGTTTTTTGATGCTCTAATAGCTTCCTCACTCCGAGATTACTAGAGGTGACCAGCAAATAATGCTTGTGAATCCCTAAGCATCCCCAGAGTGTGACTCTTTTGAGGATGAGTAATACAACAGTAAGGACAGTATAGGAGCATTCACAGGCAACCCCACTATTGGAGAAAAGTTTTCTAGAAATTGCACCTGTGCCACCAAGATACTTCTAATGTGAGTCAGAATAACATGACTTCTAGAATTACAAATTGATGAACTCTAAAGTCTGCCTTTTATTTGTTTTGAGGAAAAGGCTTCAGCTTAGATTCACACAGAAGCAGAAAAAGACATTTATGTAATTATAAATTACATAATATATAATCATTTAACTGTGTGATAGAGGATATTATAAGTAAATGGCCAAAACAATGAGCCAATCATTTTATATTCAGATATTTGCTCCATGGACCACAGGGTCAAAAAACCCATCTCTTTTCAAATGATATATTTTGCTGTGGTATATACTAAACTCCAACACAGGTCAAAAAGAAGGAAATGTGTGTCTTTCTGACATAAATTCTGAAACAATAATGATAAAAGTATTTAGATTTTTATGAAATTTGTGAAAAACAATATATAGTTATCAAATCTAAGTTTCATTAAAATCCTTAGCAAATACCACCACGGACTCGAATAAAAACAAATTATGACAAAGTTAGAATCAGAATACAGCAGTCCAGTGAGGCAGTAAGAGAGAGAACTGGCTTGCTGGCTATTGCTGAAATACTGCAGGGGTTCCTGTAGAACTCACTCATCACCACAAACAGAGGTAACCATCTGGTATCAGTGACGGCATCTTTTCTGGAGTTTCTTATCCAGTTCTGGTTACAGATGATCATGGGAACTTAAGAATTTTGCCCTGACCAGTGTGGCTCAAACCTGAAAGGTGGTGGGGTTTGATTCCTGGTCATGGCACATACCCAGGTTTTGGGTTTAATCCACGGTTAGGGTACTTACTGGAGGCAACGGATCGATGTTTCTCTCTCACCTTTCTCTCTCTGGTACTTATGGAAGGCAATAGATCGATATCTCTCTCTCACCTCTCATCTCTCTCTTTTCTCCTCTCTCTAAAATTTAAAAAATTTTTTAAAGATATTACAAAGAAAAGAATTTTAATAGCATTAACTCCAAGTAACAGTCAATAATCAAATTACCTAGGGTAAGAAGCCTGAGTCTGCTGAGCAGGAAGGGCAGGGTTTGCAGAGGGTTGAACTGCTCCTTGGCTGAGGGAAGACAATTGCTCTGGAGGAAGACTATAGCTCTGGAGATGGCTCATCTGGGCATTCCCTGCAAGCAGGTAAGTACCACTTTGAGGCCCTGGATATACCTAGAACAGTTCATGATAACATATTAGATTTTCTAAGATTTTAGTAAGCATGCCAAACCTTTTATAGAGACATTCAGTTAATAAAAAGAACAATTATATCCCTGAAATCTTTTTTCGTAGTTACTTCAGTTAATAGGCATTTAAAAAATATTTTTCAGTGAAGTTGGCTTCTGATTATTTTAATTCTTAGGTAAACATTGGCTAAATTCATGTTTACCTCTATCCAAAGTAGTAAAGGAACTTAACTTGAAACTTTATACTAATATAGTCTCTTTTTCCATGTTGATATTTTAAGTTCTTCCCTAAAAGGAATTCCAAAAGATGTCTAAGAAGTGTCTTTGAATTGACTGTTTGTATCAATAGACTGCATCTGCTTATAGATAAAATTTATATGTTTTAAATTACAGTTTACTGAACACAGAACAAACTAACTTTCTAAAGTAGGGTTAGTCAGCAAACATTTTTGTAAAAGTTCTGATAGTAAATATTTTAGGCTTTGTAGACCATATGGTTTCTGTCACAACTACTGAATTTGACCCATATAGAAAGTAGCCAGAAACAATTAATAAACAAAAGAGAATGGCTGCGTTTCAATAAAAGCTTATTTAAACAGATGGGAGGCTGGATTTGGCCCTTGGGCCATTGTTTTTGCATCCAAAAACTATACTTGTCTGAATTGAAAGAGATTGAAGCCTTAAATTTCAAAAGTCTTAAAATACATAATATTCTAGTTTTCTGTAGTATTCTTTAAATCCTTCCATTTCAGAAGTTTGATAACAGAATGCCACTATCTATGTAGTAAGGCTTTTTTACCAGTTGTAAAGATAGTAACACAACCATCAGGAGACAAGGCTCAATCATCTCAGCACTTCTCTTAAGTCCTAACACACTTCCCATGCATCAGAATCCAAAAGGTCTTCATTGTAAACACAGCTATTCTGGTCCTCATGAGTGCATTTTTTTTGTACTTTTCAAACTGAACATGAAAGGTTTTGGGGGGGTTTCTTTGGCTCAAATTGATATCAACACCTGTGAGTAGGAATCATCTAGCCACATGTTACTCAGGCATGGCTGCATATCTCCAGGGTTGTGGCCTCTCACTTCAGAGAAAATTGACTATTCTAAGAACAAAAATTAATCTATATAATGTTTATACCACTCTACATGGATAAAATGAAGTGCCTGGCGAATTACTCCCTATACCCTGAACTTACTGAGTTTGTGGAAAAAGAGCTCTTCAAATAGCTATTTGAGGTGAAAAGAGGGAAAGGGCCCTGGCCTATATTGCTCGGTGGATAAAGCATCGGCCTGTGCACCAAAGGGTCATGGGTTCAATTCCCAGTTAAGGGCATGTTACCTGGGTTGCAGGTTTGATCCCCAGCCCTGGTCACGGCGCAAGCAGGAAGCAACCAATCGATGTGTCTCTCTGACATCGATATTTCTCTCTATTTCCCCCCTCTCCTTTATATTCTCTCTAAAAATCATGGGGAAAATATCCTTGGGTGAAGATTACCAAAAAAGAAAAAGAGGGAAAGGGCTCTGTATTGCATTACATGTGTTATGTAAAGGAAGGGAGTGAAATACAGAATAAAGCAGCTCACTATAAAACTGAACACCATACATAGTCAGAAGAATTTAGTAATAATTAGAAATTTTACTGAGACAAAAAAACTGCAGTTCTTAACCAGATAATTATATATAAAGCTTTAAAAATATGCACATATTTGGGCCTCCCTCCTGAAGATTCTGCTTCAACAAGTCTGGATAGAATCAAAGCATCTGTACTTTTTCAAAAAGTTTGATGGGTGATTCTGATGGATATTCCTACAGAAAAATAATTTTTTAAAAAAGAACTATTGGGCATGGCTGGCATGGCTTAGTGGCTGAGCATCAACCTATGAACCAGTAAGTAACAGTTTGATTTCCAGGTCAGAGCACATGCCCAGGTTGCGGGCTCAATCCCCGATGTGGGGCATGCAAGAGAAATATCATCATTGATATTTCTATCTCTCTCCCCTTCTCCCTTCCACTCTCTGAAATCAATAAAACTATATTTAAAATAAACCACTGGTATAATGGTATAGTATACACTATATTTGTCAAGTAAAAGTTTCTTTTAAAGTTTATTTTACATTACTTTTAGAAAGTTTCAAATTTTATAAAAACACAGCTATTCCAAATATTCTCAAATATTTGAGAATTTTAAATGATATACTTGAGTTTTTAAAAGCTTACCTGAGAGGCAGAAACACCAGATGACTGCATATAATACTGCTGATTCTGTAATTTTGCATACATGGAATACATTGGATCTTCATTCATTAGTTTAGTATACAATGAAAGTGCCTCCATCACTTTAACATTAAGTTCTGAGAGTTCTGAATGTTTTCTGAAATATTATACAATAATTTGAAACATAATTGCTATTTAAATAGTACAATGTTCTAAATAATAAGGCATATCAAAATAGCAGAAAGTGATATAGACATTATTAAAAATTTACCTTGTAACAGAAAATATCCTGTATTTTAGCTCCAAGGCAATCAAAACTCAGATTTAGGTACTGTGCTGGGAGAGCTTATTGTAGTTGACTTTACTTTAAAATATCTAGGTTTCTCGAGATTATAATAGATGGGTCATTTGGGCTCTGGTAATGTCACTCATGATTATAATAGTTAACCCTTATTTTTAAAAAAGGCTAATATAGTGAAGGTCAAATAAATCCTCACCTTAAACAAAAATAAAAAAAAAGAGAGTTGGGTCTAATTCAAATTCCCACATTTAGTAGAAAACAAGTAAATGCAGACTGGTTCCTTTGGCATATAAAAATAGAAAATATTAAAAACTAAAAATGAAAAATTCAAATGAAATAAGATAGAAAAATTAAAATATAAAATATAACACAATAGAAATAAATAAATAAACAAAACTAGTAATGAAATAAATTATAATGGCAGCTCTATCCCAGTAGGTAGTTTACAGAGAACTTCAGGGAAGAAGGTACACAATATAGAGGGCACATGCTCTTTTACCTATCAATATCTTCCAGTTTTTCATCAATAAGAGGTCCCATCTGGTGACACATTGCTAAGGTGAGAAGATTTGAAGAAATATAAGAAAACACAACAAAGGAAAGCAAATCTCTGATGAATATTCATATAAGAAATACAAGATGTAATTTGGAATAATAAAAATGATATTAATAAAGAGACCCCAAGATTTATTTTCTTGATCTCAAAAATATTAAAATACCAATATTTATTTTACAACGTAGAAGAATAGAGAGACCACAAACTGAAACATTGGTAGCAAAAACATGTTGCTTTAGAATTTTATTCTAAAATGTTGAATAAAATATTTGAGTATTTTAAATAATATATTTAATTTCTATAGAAATGTATAAGAATGTGAATTCTGCCCTGACTGGTTTGGCTCAGTGGATGGAGCGTCAGCCTGCGGACTGAAGGGTCCCAGGTTCGGTTCCGGTCAAGGGCATGTGCCTTGGTTGCGGGCACATCCCCAGTGGGGGGTGTGCAGGAGGCAGCTGATCGATGTTTCTCTCTCATCGATGTTCCCGGCTCTCTATCCCTCTCCCTTCCTCTCTGTAAAAAATCAATAAAAATATATATATTTTAAAAAGAATGTGAATTCTATCAAAGTTTTAAATAGCATATAAACGTGAGACTGGGTCACAGAAGAGTGCGGAATGTGAACATGTTTTGTATCATTCTCAATTTTATTTAAATATGAACCATTCTGTAACAGAACAGTAGATATAACCTCTAATTATCCTTTATTTGGAAGATAAATGAAAAACAAGGTTTACCTTCAAGATGAAGTAACTCCGGAAGATCTGGCTGATCATCACTGGGATCTGTACTTTGCAACATCTGTAGCAACTGGTCCATTTTGTCCTACAGGAATTAAATAGTTAATATAAAAAGCAACTGCCGAAGCCGGTTTGGCTCAGTGGATAGAGCGTCGGCCTGTGGACTGAAGGGTCCCGGGTTCGATTCCGGTCAAGGGCATGTACCTTGGTTGCGGGCACGTCCCCAGTGGGGAGTGTGCAGGAGGCAGCTGGTCGATGTTTCTCTCTCATCGATGTTTCTAACTCTCTATCTCTCTCCTTTCCTCTCTGTAAAAACTCAATAAAATATATTTAAAAAAAAAAGAAAAAAAAAAGCAACTGGTCATTACGAAACAATATGTTCGCACTTTGTTAATTAGATAATGGATAGAGAACTTTTGCAATTCAGATATGTAGACTCCAATTTTGTTTTTATGTGGTTAATATCTGTGTACTCTCTTTAAGTACCATGTGAAGTCAGAGCCTCGAAAGCTCTACCTACTTATTTTTTAGTCCTCAATGATTCTGTTAAAGAGAATAGAGCCACATTTAAACTTACAATATGTGAGCTCTTCAACCTAATTTCATGGTAGTGAATTTCACTCTGTTTTGAAGCAGCCTAGCCTTGACACGCTGACAGGTGTAACCTCTCTCTCACGATGGCATTACTCATGACTAACAACTCAGTTATTACTTCTCCCCCAGGGTGAATACAACAGCTGTTTTAGAAAGGCATAGCTCAGCTATATTACAGCTGTTCTCTTTCTAAGTAGGGCCATAAAGACTTCGTCTACATTTTCTTGCTACCAATGTTTCAGTTTGTGGTCTCTCTATTCTTCTACGTGGGAAAGGCTGGAAAGCATCTCAAGTCAGTGACTTACACATATTTTAGAATCTTTTGTTTTAATCACCAATGGGACTAATGAAACCATCTTTACATTAGTACCTCTATACATTATATAAGTACATATGTATTTATATGTAGATTTTTAAAAAACAAAATATAAATCTTACATAGCATACCAATGAATACTACTATAATAATTACAAGCTTTTCCCCATGCATGGTTTTTACAGGGTAATACTATTAAACATATGTACATTAGGTAAATAATGTAAAGAAGACCAATTCAAAGCATAGCAATTATTTAAACAAAAACTCTGTGTTATATATAGAAGAACAGTTTGAGAGATGGATTAATTACTAGAGAGTAAAAGTGACACAGCATATAAGAAAACTGTGAAGGCAAAAGAATTTTATGTTTTGAAATGGGTACTATTTTTCATTGTAAAAGATTCAACTTTCATTTCAAGCAGTTCAAAAAAGAAGGCACATGTCAGTAAAGTTTTCCTACAGCAAAAAAAAAGGGGAGGGGGGGCGTGGAGGGAGGTGGTTATAGTTGGTAAGAGTGAGAGCCACTAATACCTGGATAATTTTTGCTGTGTTTACAGAATCTATACTCTATCTGAAATTACCTACTATCAGAGAAATAAGGTTTCCAGAGAGATCCCTCACTGACTCTACACGCATTTCTTATGTAATGCAATCAGCTAATTAATTTTCCCTAATCCAGTTGGATTCCTTGGCTCCTAGCAGTCTTCTACAATCTATTTCTGTAAAAGAACACTCTTCAAACTTTCTGCTCTGGCTCCCCTAAAAGAAGGCTAAAAACTTATTAATCCCTTGACATATTTTAAAGATAACTTCTCATTTTTCATCATAAGTTTAAAATGTTACCAAGAATATAATTTCCAGAGCATTAAGTACAAACATTTTAAAATAAAACAATTACACATTATTTGAAATATATTTTTAAAATCTCATAAAAGTGTTCGTAATAGCAAAAAAACACCAGAAAAAAACTAAAAACAAACTCACTGTCCAAAAACAGAATTAAAAAATCATGATATATCCATTCTGTAAAACATTAAGCAGAAATCTACACTAATAAAAGACAAAGATGCTAATTGACCATACCTTTGCTACACCCTAAGCCATGCCCACCAGCCAACCAGAGCGACTATATGCAAATTAACCCAACCAAGATGGCAGCCAGCAGCCACAGAGCTGGAGCAAGCAGGAGGCTTGGTTGCCCGGGCGATGGAGGAAGCCAAGCTTCCCACCTGCTCAGCAGCGCTAAGGATGTCCGACTGCAGCTTAGGCCTGCTTCCCACTGGCAAAGTGGACATCCCCCGAGGGCTGCTGGGCTGCCAGAGGGACTTCTGACTGCCAGCTTAGGCCACCCCCCCCCCGGGAGCAGGCCTAAGCCAGCAGGTGGTCATCCCCTGAGGGGTCCAAGACTGCAAGAGGGATCCGGCCCGAGTACACAAATTTTTGTGCACTGGGCCTCTAGTTTAAAATAATGAGGTATATGGAAATCACTTACTTCATCAATAAAGGCTTGTTCTTCCGGCTCTGGCTCTATTGTTTCTACCTGAACATCATCACTAAATTGTACCGTCTTCTTCTCCGTTTTTACTGTAAAACATGCAATATTTACCTTTTCCTTAGAATACATTTAAAATTCTATTTGAGAACACTTTAAGTTACACGAGAGAATTTTTTAAATATTTCCTTAAACTGAGAGACTTAAAGAATAATCAGGTTGCAGATTTAGACAATAATGACTAAACATTACTTCATGTCAAGATTCCTAAATTTTCTCTTCTAAAGATTTTACATTTCCCATAAAAGACACATTACTAAAAATGAGAGGTATATTTCTGAAACAAAGATTAATCACCTACTACTCAACAGTTTATTAAATTGGTGAAAAAGAGCAAAATTTTACAATGGTATGAACGAACTCTTAAATTTAGAAAAATCTCATTTGATAGACCATGCTATTTTGATGCAATGAATTAGAAAGTTAGCTATATGTTCTCCAGCATGCCACTCAGACTTTTGACTAAGAGAACGACATCCAAGCCAATGGAAATTTTACAAATAGCCTTGGCAGGGATCTGCCACTACATCAGACTATACATTTTAGTTACATGGTTCTTTGTATTAAAAAATGATTATTAAGGGATCCACAAACCATTGGCCAGAAACACGTATTTCTCTTGCTCAATAAAGAAAACTTTAAATATCTAATCAATATAACATTAACTAGTACATATAAAGATATGATTAACATAGCAATTAACCTTCTCCAAAAGAATATCAAGGCACATACAGCTTAAAAGAAATGAATTTCCACCCAGCTGACATGGCACAGTGGTTGAGCATCAACCTATGAACCAGGAGGTTATGGTTCAAGATTCCTGGTCAGGGCACAGGCCTGGGTTGTGGCTCGATTCCCAGTGGGAGCGTGCAGGAGGCAGCCAATCAATGATTCTCTCTCATGATTGGTGTTTCTATCTCTCTCTCCTTCTTCTTTCCCCTCTGAACTTAATAAAAAGAAAAAAAAAAGAAAAAAATTAATTTCCTCTCTGAATTTTCCATCCTTGTATCCACGTGGTCAATCATTACTCATAAAAATATTAAGAATCAAACTCCTCATAATGAAGATTCACTAAAGTACAGTATTATGAAAAAATATAGTCAACTGTCTATCAACATTTTGATAGGCTACCACCAGTTACATCTCCTGCAACTATTATGCCAGTAATATCACTACCTCTTTGGCCCCACTTTCTAGTTTATTTCTCCTAGTCAGCAAAGATTTGGCAATAAAACAAAAAAAATGATTTATATGATTAGTTATGGACGCTTCTGAATATCTAACAAGAAGGTTTAGAAAAGCCATTACTGTTGCTTAGAGGCCACAGCTTCCAAATTTGAGGTTAAAACACTAGAGAAATGGTCTCAACCTTTGAAAAGAAAGAATTGTTTATGAGGTTGCACTGCATTTGTCATACTTTTATCAACTGATGATAATGAAAATACATAAATTCCATTAACACTTTTTAGTATGCATTTTTACACTAGCACATATATACATATATGAGTGTGAATATACATATATATACACACACACACACATACATATATACATATATGTGTATTTATAGGTATAGGTAGATATAGATTGTTTTTTAAAGAAAAAATCCATACTCTCTCTAAAGATAATCTTGGTAGACAAATGATTGCAATTCTTAGATGATTTATGGTAAATAATCTACTGACCAGGCAGCTGCATTTTTAATAAACACCTTGAAAACACTACTGTTTGAAAGTACCTGCTCCAAAAAATTGAATTTACTCAGCCTTCATTAAGAGGATTAATGATTATCATCCATTGGCAGACTGGAAAATACTTACTCATTTCTGGTTCAGCAGTGAGATCTGCAGTTACAAAATTAGAGGGAAATAACCCCATGCCTTGATGGGTTTCACCTTTCCACCAGTTGGGATCACTATGAGGAACAAAAAAGAATATTTGACTATAATAAAGATTTTTATTTCTATACAACTTTCCCTTTTATAGTGTTTAATTTACATTAATACCAGATTTGAAACCCACATCAATCCAGTGAAGAATGAAATGAATGTATCATTATTATAAATAAGAGATGAGGCCTCCAAGAAAATAAGTTATTAAACACATAGTACTTTATCTTTTGGAAGGCTGGTGAATGCTTAAAGGATTTACTATAAGACACTAAACTCTCCCCTCATAAAAGAGGTCCATGTACTTAAGAATTGTCAAGTTCAGGTGGTTTTAAGGCTCCACTGTAAGAATCCTTTGTAATCTTCTATAATAATAAGAGCATAATATGCTAATTAGACCAGACGTCCTTCAGGACAAAGTTGGGGCTGTGAGGGAAGCCCGGGTCTTGGGTGCCAGAGGGAAGCCGGTGCCAGCAGCCAGGGGAAGGAAGGCCTACTCTTTCACGAATTTCGTGCATTGGGCCTCTAGTCCTATATAATAAAAGGGTAATATGCAAATCAACCGAACAAAAAAACAACCAATCGCTATGAAGTGCACTGACCACCAGGGGGCAGATGCTCAATGCAGGAGCTGTCCCCTGGTGGTCACTGCACTCCCATAGGGTGAATGCCGCTCAGCCATAAGCAGCAGCACTAAGAATGTCTGTCAGTCGGACATTCTCCAAGGGCTCCCAGACTGCTAAAGGGTGCAGGCCGGGCTGAGGGGGACCCTCCCCCCCTTATGCATCGGGCCTCTAGTATGATATATAGCAAGATCTTAAGATGTCCATTCTTGTGCTCTATCTAAAATGTATCAGCAAATTTTTCCCCACAAGAAAACACATATGACAGAGACACTGTTTATAGCATAAAATGTTCACAAGGAACACACTTCAAGGTGCATACTGTATCTTTACTGTATCTGTATCTAGTCTAAGAAAAGCTAGCAAGCTCTCAAGTATTTTTGAATAAATGATCAAGGTTTTGTGCAATTTCCAATAAAATAGTTCAAACTAACTTCATTATTTTCCACTCAAGAAATGACTCCGTATAATAAAAGCCTAATATGCTAAGTGTCCAGTCTTCCGGTGAGCCATTCAACCAATTGAAGGGTAATATGCTAATGATATGCTAAGGCCACTCAACCACTCACTATAACGTGCACTGACCACCAAGGAGCAGTCAACTGATTGACCAGTCGCTATGATGTACACTGACCACCAGGGGGCAGAGAGTCAACTGGTCAACCAGTCGCTATGAGGTGCACTGACCACAAAGGGACAGACGCTTCGATGGGTAGGTTAGCTTGCTGCTGGGGTCCGGCCAATTGGGACTGAGCGAGAGGGGCCAGACATCCCCTGGAGCCCTCCCGCGATCCCTGCCCGGCTGGCCAAACTCCTGCATTCCTCCTCAGCCCCAATTGTGCACCAGTGGGGTCCCTCGGCCTAGCCTGTGCCCTCTCGCAATCCAGGAACGCTCAGGGGATGTCAGAGAGCCGGTTTTGGCCAGATTCTGCAGGCATAAGGCTAATATGCCAATCGGCCGAACTGTGGAACGACCCATCGCTATGATGCACACTGACCACCAGGGGGCAGATGCTCAATGCAGGAGCTGCCCCATGGTAGACAGAGGCCAGAAGCCAGGCTCACGGCTGGCAAGTGCAGCGGCAGTAGTAGGAGCCTCTCCTGCCTCCACAGCAGTGCTAAGGATGTCCGACTGACAGCTTAGGACCAATCCCGGTGGGGAGCGGGCCTAAGCCAGCAGTCGGACTTCCCCCAAGGGTTCCCAGACTGTGAGAGGGCTCAGGCTAGGCCAGCCGTGGGCAAACTACAGCCTGCGGGCCGGATCCGGCCCGTTTGAAATGAATAAAACTAAGAAAAAAAAAGACCGTGCCCTTTTATGTAATGATGTTTACTTTGAATTTATATTAGTTCATGCAAACACTCCATCCATGCTTTTGTTCCGGCCCTCCGGTCCAGTTTAAGAGCCCACTGTGGCCCTCGAGTCATAAAGTTTGCCCACCCCTGGGCTAGGCTGTGGGACCCCTGCCCTCCGAGGGCAAGAATTTCATGCACCGGGCCTCTAGTATTATAGTATGTACTAGAGGCCCAGCCCACGAAATTCGTGCATGGGTAGGGTCCCTACGCCTGGCCTGTGGTCAGGGCCAATCATCCCTGGCTGCCAGCAGCCAGCCCTGCCCCCTGCCGCCGCCGTTGGTCGCCTTCTGTGTGTAGGGGCAACTGGCAGGGCAATCGGGGCCCGGTCGCCACCCACATTCACCGTCACCCACCCCCAATTCCCCGTCCCCCATCGGGCGATCGGAGCCTGCCGGCTGGGGGAAGGGACCAAGAGGTTGACCAGCAGGCCCCAATCAGGTGATCAGGGCCTGCAGACTGAGGCAGCTCCTGCGTTGAGCGTCTGTCCCCTGGTGGTCAGTGCACATCATAGACGACCAGTTGTTCCGTCCTCTGGTCGATTTGCATATTATGCTTTTATATATGTAGATTATAGAAATAACCTTAAATCTATTTGAATTTATTTTTAAAACCACTTATCTGCCAAGTTTAGAACTTCATTATCAATAACAATTTTCATAAACATAAAGCTGTAGTAAGAGACAAATGCACTGAATCACCCCTCCTATGATAATGTAAATGCATATAATTCCATGTAAAATTAATTTGTTCCAAATACACTAAATAGCCCTAACCGGTTTGGCTCAGTGGATAGAGCGTCAGCCTGCAGACTCAAGGGTCCCAGGTTCGATTCCGGTCAAGGGCATATGTCTTGGTTGTGGGCACGTCCCCAGTGGAGAGTGTGCAGAAGGCAGCTGATCGATGTTTCTCTCTAATCGATGTTTCTGGCTCTCTATCCCTCTCCCTTCCTCTCTGTAAAAAATCAATAAAACATTTTTTTAAAAATACACTAAATAATAAACACACTATATTCTGTATTTATTATAAATTTCATAAATACACATATACACATATATTTGGTATTTTTTCTAAAATCTTAACTTTTTTACTAATTTAACAATCTATATTATTAAATGGAACCAAAAATGAATAGATTAAACTAAGCCTTCCCCCCAAAAATTAAAGCTAGTTAAATATATGAAGAAAAAATTAAACTACAAAATAAGAATCCAGCCATTATACCATAACCAAAGCAACCATCAGACAAAGAAAATAGCTGGATCAGTATTTTTTAATTGCATTTGGTGATAGCATCCAACAGGAGTAATACGAAACACAAAAGTAATATGTTATATATTTTTCACATGAAAGATCCATCACCTGTCATCAAGAACAGTAATAATTTCTCCAGCTTTAAAAGTAAGTTCATTATCTTCAGCAGCTTCAAAGTCATATATAGCACGAACTTTTCGGCCTTCGTGTTGGTGGTTAGTTAAGAGGTTGGATGTACTTGGATACAACGTGGAAAGGGTGGTGGACTGCTGTTTTTGTTCCTTCAGGGACAGCTCAATGGCTAGAAAATAATGGGTTTAAAAAGACCCAAAATGTTAACATGTCCAATAATCCAAAGAAGTGTAAAAATATATCTGAAGGTAAAAAGTATTCTTCTCTCAGTAGTGTAGCTGGAAACTAGGACAATAAAAATCATTTCATCAATTTTATTCATTCATTCACAACTGAAAGTTCAAAAAAATAACAAAAAAATTGAACAGCATGATGACTATTTTTTACTGAACAAGACAATTAAAATAATTCTGGGTAATTAAAAGACATAAACTTAGATCCATTTTAAAAATTTTAGTTGCAGATATATTTTCTTTTGTCTTTTCAATGTATTCCTACAGCCTAAGTTCCCGAAATGATAAAATCACTTGGGAGATAGTCTCAAGCCTCATTTGGGGACTTACTGATTACTGAGAACCTATATTTTATTGCTCCAAAGATAATTCTTTTATAATCAGTCTAAGAATTGGAATTTAGAAATAACTACAATAAAGTCTCACCTAACAAATTCCCTAAAATAGATTTCAAATGTGTCTCCTCTATCTCCATCCTCCTCTCCCCATGTAGGCCATCACTATGGGATTGATTACCTTGGTTTCAAATCAACCCAAACCCCTTCTTCCTTTCCACCTCTATTCTAGATCAATAAAAGACCTAATGAGAAAATAAAACTTTAAAACTATCCTAAGAAAATATAGGAAAATGTCTTTTAGGATGTTAGAGTAGGAAAAGAACAACTTAAGACATAAAAAAGCAAAACTAACAGAAAAGCAAAAATTTTGACTACATCAAAATTTAAAATTTGTTTGATAAAACACACCATTATCAAAGTTAAAGTATAAGCCAAAAATCAAGAAAAGAATAGATATCTACTACAGATAAAACAGGCAAAAGATTAGCATGCAAAATAAAGACTTTCTACATATCATTATGTTTTTTAAAAAGAGATTCAATAAAAAAAGAGAAAGTCAGAATGCAAATAAGCATACAAAAAAGGACTCAACCTCACTGGTAGTAAAAGAAATAAAATTTAAAATAATGGGACATCATTTTGAATCTATCATATTCATAAAACTTAAACAGTGACAAGACCAAATGCTGTCAGAAAGTTTAAAATAATAATAGCTTTCATACACTGATGATGGAAAAGAAAATAAAACTATTACCAAAATTGAAGAAATGCCTGCCCCATAAGCCAACACTTCACTCTTAGTCACACAACATACACACACACACACACACACACACACACACACACACACACACACACACGGGAACACATACAGGTATATTCAATGCAGCATATTTATTATAGTAAAAATAAAAAACAGAAAACCCAAACATCCATCAGTAGGAGGATAAATTACAGTATGTATTTATTAGTACACTGGAATATTATATAGCAGTTAAAAAAAAAGTAAATTTGATTCATATGTCTAATCATGAATAGATCACAAAACGCTGCATAAAAAATACAGTTGCAGATAGATGTATATTATTTACAAAAATATTTTATTGGACACAAAAAGTATTTGGTACTGTTTATGGATATTTATGGGTAAATTGTGTAGTAAAAATACTGATCAGTAAGACATACATGACAGCTGTGTTGGGAGAGAAGAGGAAGAAGTGATATTGAGGGAAACAAAGTAGATTTCAGCTATTTCTTTTATTTTAAAATATTTCAGGAAAAAAAATATTAAGTAAGCAACCCATCTTTTTGCCAGTATCAGGGACTTAAAAACATACCTTTGGCTAAATCTTCTTCTTCTTTTTTGTTAGTCACAGTACCAGGATCCTTGGCTACCAGAGCTGGGCTTGCTTTTGCTTGTTCTGCAGCCTAACACACACAAAAAAGGAACACAATATTTGAGGGCCGATCTCAAGTACTCCTACCCCACCTAATCTACAAAGGTGCAAGATCCTTCTTGTCAATCTAAAACAAACTTCTGAAGAATAAAGAAATCCAATTGGAGCAGCCTGAAAAGGAGAAGAGTTAGAACTGGAGAAAACAGACTGAGAGCAGCTGGATACTTAGAGCCAACAGCCTAAATAACACCATTGCAGATTTGTGTAAAGAGGTTAAACTAAAAGCAGACAGTACACAAACCAAAGGGGGGAAAAAAACCACAAAAACTAGAGATTTAAAACTGTTTAGAAAAATAAAACTGGAAAAGGGATTGAGAGAGGGAGGAAGATGACTATTTTAAAAACAGATAACTTCAAAAAAAATTTAAATATGTATTTAAGGATTCTATTGCTTGCTTCCAGATTAAAAGTCAGGATGTTCTCTTTAGGGACCCAGATTTATATATAACAATATAAATGCTCATAAAATTATACTATTTAGCAAAACAAAATACATGCAGTTAATTCTGGGAATATATTGCTGTCCATCTTAAGTATATTTTGTAAATAAGGTAGTTTACAAGTAAATTAATACATAAATTGATTCACACTTAAGGAATTAGAAGCTTCTAAGCCTCAATGGCCTCTTGGTTTTTCCATGGCAGTAAAGGCAATTCAGACTCCAGCCTATCTTACCAGTCTTATTTTCAACCATTCTATCAGTGACCAGAAACTGCTAGCCTATATACAGATATATTATATGTATATAATATATACACACATATGTATATATATACACATACTAGAGGCCTACTGCACAAAATTCATGCAAGAGTAGACCTTCCTTCCCCCAGCTGTCGGCACTGGCTTCCCTCCAGCCCTGCTTCGTCCAGAAGGAGTCTGGTCTAATGAGCATATTACCCTTTTATTATTATAGATACCCATACTGGTATTTCTACATCTATGACACACATTTGCTTTACTTATAATGTCCTCCCCTCTGGCTCTGTTTTCTCCATCCATATTTTTCCCTGTTGAGTTGCAACTCATCAGGGGGTAAACAGCTAAAATATCACTTTCTCAGTGAAACATCCCTAAGCCTCTTACTAAAGCATTCCCTCTCAAACAAGGTGCTATGACATGGGTAGATAAGAATGGGTAGTCAGGCAAACACGGGATCAAACTATAAATTCATGCACTTTGTGTCTCAAGTCCCTCAACTACAAAATGAGAATAATAATATCACCTACACACTACAGGATATTAAGACGATTAAATTAACACATGTAGCTTCTAAAATCAGGTAAAATGGGGGCCCTTCAAGGTTTAAACAGAAAGTATAACATTGTCTCCTGGGATTTATAATGTATGTAGGAGAATATATGTCATACGTAAGATGACTATAGCATAAAGGATGCTGAAGTGGGGAGTAGACCAACCCTATACTGTTTCAAGGTTTCTACATTTTACATGAAATAATATAGTATTAACTCAAAACAGATTTTTTTAAATTTATTTTTATTTCTTAAAGTATTACAAAGAGTATTACACGTCTCCTTTTTTCTCCCCCTTGACATTCCCCCGGCTTCCCCCACTCCCCAGTGTCTTGTGTCCATTAGTTATTCTCATATGCATGCATATAAGTCCTTCGGTTGATCTCCTACTCCCCCCAACCCTCCCCAGGGTTCCCACTGTAGTTTGACATTCTGCTCAATGCTGCTCTGCCTCTGTATCCTTTTTTGTTCATCAGTCTATAATGTTTCTTATTATCCATGAATGAGTGAGTTCATGTGGTATTTTTCTCAGCTTCCCAGGGGCCACCTCAGTCTCACAGGGGCCATCTCAGCCTCACAGGGGCCGTCCCCACCTCACAGGGGCCATCCCAGCTTCATGGGGGCCATTTCAGCCTCACAGGGGCCGCCTCAACCTCACAGGGGCCGTTTCAACCTCACCGGGCCGTTTCAACCCCACCGGGGCTGTTGCAAGCTCACCAGGGCCGTCTCAACCTCACCGTGGCCGATTCAGCCTCATCAGGGCTGAACCTCACCGGGGCCGTCTCGACCTCACCGGTGCCGTCTCGACCTCACCAGGGCCGTCTCAACCCCACCGGGGCTGTCACAACCCCACCAGGGCCGTCTCAGCCTCACATGGGCCGACTAAACCTTACAGGGGCCTTCTCAACCTCACATGGGCCGTTTCAGCCTCACCGGAGCCGTTTCGGCCTCACCGGGGCCATTTTGGCCTCACCGGGGCTGTTTCAACCTCACCGGGGCTGATTCAGCCTCACCGGGGCCGTTTTGACCACACCGGGGCCGTTTTGACCTTACCGGTGCCGTCTCGACCTCACCGGTGCCGTCGCGACCTCACCGGGGCCGATTCAACCTCACCGGGGCCATCTCAGCCTCACCGGGGCCGTCTCAGCCTCACCGGGGCCATCTCAGCCTCACAGGGGCCGTCCCAGCCTCACTGGGGCCGTCTCAACCTCACAGGGGCCGTTTCAACTTCACCGGGGCCGTTTCAACCTCACCGGGGCAGTTGCAACCATAACAGACTTTTTAAAGTTACAAATGTATACTATAATTCCCAGATAAATCAATAAAAAATGGAATTCTAATTTTTAAATGATTGTTAAGCAGATGAAAGGCAAAATATTATAGTAACATAGTTATATATTCCTCCCTTTTATACTTTATAATGACAAACAAACACACAAGGCACTTATTTTTAGAAAAGCTGATTACAAAAAAGCTTTTTATAGTTCACTGCATAGAACTTTAAGTACTTTCAATTCTGATCCTTCTCTTGTTGCAGTATTTTAATCATTATACAACTGAAAACTGAAAGTCAGAGGCAATCTTTTTCATAACATATAAAAATTTTTCATAATCTGGTCAATTTCACAACACAAATATGTTGATTTTTTGTGGTCTATGAAGAAATCTCTATTGGTGCAGAAGGAAGTGCAGAACAGGCTGCATTAAGCCTGCATTCCTGAACTGCACACTTTTCAAAGTTCCTTTCTATCATTAGGTTCTAAGTGTAGCAATGACACTTGTCTTATTAACTAGCCAAATAGAGGAGCAGTTTACCATTACTTTTATCTCTACAGCAAAAGTTAGTACTAAAAAAAAATCACAACAGCATAAAAATAAGTTAGGTAACTAAAGTATGACTTTTCTTAACATTTTTATTATTTTCTTCTGAACTTGGATAAAAAATAAACTTAAAAATCCTTATATTTTCATAGGCTTTTGTTAAAAATGATAACAAAAATCTACTCTGACTAAATGTGATGACATACAACTGATTTCAAAATCTAGAGGGATGTCTACAGTTGATCCTAGATGACTTTTTTAAAAAAATTAGCTTTATTGTTCAAAGTATTACAGATCTTCCCTTTTTTCCCTAGATGACACATTTTCATTAAACATAAAGTTCTTTACAAACAGGGTTTTCAATGATACACTTTCCAGAAAGTAGTATAAAAAAACCCATTCTATTTCATCTTATTGTACTTTATATGCATTTTATATATTTCTTGTGGCTAAATGATAGCAACTATAATAAAATTAGGTTTCATGTATTTTGTAGCATCTAGATGAAAAGAAGAAAAGTAGCTCTTAACTTTAATATTGCTGATCTATGTCCTGAATCTTTTGAGCAGGAGAGTAACCTAACTTCTATGCCAATCGATCAATCAATCAAATCCTCTTGCCAGTGTTCACTCCACTTCTTGTCTTTTGAAGTCTAGTCTGGACAGACACATATCCACTAACTTCTGTATCAACAGAAGGCAGAATGGTGTAGTAGAAAGAACACTGGACTGAAAGTCAGGAACCCTGTGTTGTCCTTCCAGCTCTGTCAACTACTCTTGCCCAAGTGTCCCTGGGCAAGTCACTTAATCATTCTGGGTCTCAGTTTCCTCATCTGTAAAATGGGGGGATTAGATTAGAAAATCCCTAAAGATGTCCCCACAACTGAGAGTCTAGGTTAACCAAAAAGTGCTATATATCAAACAGATCATTAATTCTTCCTTCTCTTATAGAAACAAGTCCCTTTGTGGACAGATATGCAGTTTTCACTTGCACTGAAAGCTGTATTTAAGAGCAGTGCTTCTCAAACTTCAATGTGTATACAGAATCATCCAGGATTTTGATAAAAGGAAGATAATAAATCCATGGATGCCGAATTTCTAACAACTTGATGATGATGATGGTCAATGAACCAAATTTTGAGTTACAAGCTCTAGAAAAGGTTTTTGAGGCATAGAAATTACAATTCCATTAAGCATCTACACTTTGGTACTCCACAGAATCCACTTTGATAATTAAACATTGCTTCTATTGTCAAGAAACTTATAAGACTCTTGGATTATTCTGCATAAAATTATTCTATAATTATAGATTTAGAAATTATTCTGAGAGTAGTAAAAACCAGCTGTCAGTCATGAATACTTCTAAAAGATATAATTTACCATTATAAAACTATTCAAAAGCCAAATTTTTTGAAGAAGTAAAATATCCTCCCTTCCTTACTCTCCTAAGTATATTTCTGGGTTTTTTTACAGTTCAAAAGTACACAGATAAAGTAGAAGTGTCTTGGAGAAAGTCTAGATAAGTCTGGATGAATCAGTTCATGAGTTCCTGAAGTGGTCAAAATCCCAAACTTGAATCCTTGGACAGCTGAGATTTTCTGCTCATGCTTTTGTACCACTCATTACATTTTACTCCAATCCATACACTTTAAACCCTTTTCATTAGTTGGGCATGCTAAAGGATGGTTACCCAGAATAGAAAAAGAAGAGAAGAAATACCCTCCCTCCCTTTTCTTTCTTTGCTTCCTTCCTTCCTTCCTTCCTTAATCTTCATTTGACGATAAGTTTATTGATTTGAGAGAGAGAAAGAGGGAGAGGGAGGGAGGGAGGGAGGGGAGGGAGGGAGAGGGAGAGGGAGAGGGAGAGGGAGAGGGAGAGAGAGGGAGAGAGAGAGAGAGAGAGAGAGAGAGAGAGAGAGAGAGAGAGAGAAAGAGAAACACTGGTTGCCTCCTGTGGGGACTGCACCCACAAACTAGGTATGTGCCCTGACTGGGAATCAAATCCACAACCTTTTTGGTGTACCGGACAACACTCCAACCAACTGAGCTACCCAGCTGGGCCCCTTTCATTTTTTTATATGACATTAATTAGACATCAGTCTCATTACATAATTTTTTGAAAAGGAAAGTTAAGCCTTTTGGTCAGTCATATTTATTAGGACAAAGGAAAAAGATGAAGCCACTGGTCAGGTTTTATGAAGGGAAGAAATGCTTCATGTGCTTCTCTTCCCATTGACCCCTTTATATCTCCTTCTCACTTTTAATATAGGTATTCATAAATTTCATAATAAAAAAACCTCTAAACTCATCTTTAAATTTTAAGGATATCCCTATTTTTGATGATAGCATTAAGAGCATTTAATAAGACTTACTTGATGTAATAAAGTAATTTTGTCTATATTAGAACTAAATTTTTAAAAATTTTAATTGCAAATGTTACAGCAAATTCATTTATTAAAAAGGAGAAACAGTGGGAATGTAGAAGTTAGAACACATTAATATTCCACCCTATTTTTATGGCACCTCAAAATGCAAGGTTATTATTAACAAAAAAATCCTTCAAAGTAATAAAAGCTACTTGGGTTTGGAGGGGTGAAAAGTTCAAATAAATATGGCTACTTCAGAAAAACACTGTAGCACACATACAACTTTACAAAATACCTGAGAGCCAATAGCTGGAAACGTAACTCCTTGTTCTTTAAGGTTCTTAATCATTGCCGATATTAGACTGAGCTGTGGGTCATTCTTAAATTCATCTGTCCATTCAACCATAAGGGCCTTTAATTTTTCACACACTTTAGGATGACCCTGGAAGTAGAGAAAATAATTAGTAAGATTTTATCTGGAAATAGTCACTGGATAGAAAAATATATCTGGAAATAATCAGTTGATAGAGAATTATCAGTAAGCTAAATCTGTTTGAATTGTAAGTCACTTTAAATGGTTTTGCTGTTTAATTTTGTATGGTTAATGTTTTCATTAAAGTTTTTCATTCCAAAAATATTACTAAAAAGTATACTAATTTCTGACCAATGATTTAATACAGTGGGGCCTTGACTTACGAGTTTAGTTCATTCCGTGACGGAGCTCGTAACTCAAATTACTCGTATGTCAAATCATTAAAGTAAACGAGCAAAACACGTGATGCTGGGCTGATGTTGTAGCGTTCACTGTGACGTTCGCTGCGCCAACTAGCGGTGGGGTATCTGAAGCTGGCTCATAACCCGAATTTTAGCTCGCAACTCAAAGCAAAAAACCGGCTGAGAGACAGCTCATATCTCGAAAAACTCGTTAGTCGGGACACTCGTAAGTCAAGGCCCCACTGTATAGATATCTTAAACATAAGAATTCTGAAGTGTTATAATTCTCTTTTTAAATCACCCCTGCTGGCCTGGTCACCCCTTACTGCCCACCCCAATCCCCTTCTGGCCTGGTCACCCCATGCAGCCTGCTGTTCAGTCATTTGGTCGTCCCTCATTAACCTCCCTGCCGATCTGGTCACCCCACGCAGCCTGCTGTTCAGTTGTTTGGCTGTCCCTCACTAACCCCCCTGCCGGCCTGGTCGCCCCACATAGCCTGTTGTTTGGTCGTCCATCCAATTGTTTTGGTCATGACGGCCCCTGGCTTTTTATATATTAGGATAGCATTATAGTCTCTTTATAAACAGTGATACATTTTGATGGCTATCAGGACATCATAAGAATGGTTACTGCCCAGGCCAGAAGGCTCAGTTAGACTGCGGTCCCATACATCAAAATTTGTGGGTTTGATTCCCAGTCAGGACACATACCTAGGTTGTAGGTTTGATCCCCAGTCAGGGCTCATATGCACCAGACAATCAATTGATGTTTTTCTCTCACACTAACGTTTCTTTCTCTTTCTCTCCCCACCCCCACTCCTCTCTCTCTAAAAATCAATAAAAACATATCCACAGGTGAGGATTAAAAGAGAGAGGAAAAAAAAAGAATGGTTATTAATTAGTAGAAAATATCTAAATACAACTTAATAAAGCAGAACAGGTAAAACATTTTTATGTAGTCATGTTTGAAAAGTACAGAATTTTACATTTCTTATCTCATTTCTGTACTGTTTTCTACAAAAACCTAAAAATACTTATTTTTCCAAAAAAGACATTTTTGCCTGGCCAGCATGACTCAGTGATTGAGCATTAGCCCATGAACCAAGAGGTCATGATTAGCTTCCAATCAGGGTACATGGTCAGGGCATATGCCCAGGTTATGCGTGCGATCCCCAGTGAGGGGCATGCAGTAGGCAGCCAATCAATGTTTCTCTCTCATTGATGTTTCTATCTTTCTAACCCTCTCCCTTCCTCTCTATAAAATCAATACAAAAATATATTTTTTAAAAAGGCATTTTCCCTTTTAACACTTAAAAAATTTCTTTCTTGATATAATACATCCCCCATCCCCTCCCCCACCCCAAAAAGCCAGAAATGATTACCTTTAGAATACAGATTTTTACTGGGAAAACTCACATATTACTTAAAAACTTACATTTTTTAAAGTCCTTAAATTTCAAGATTTGAATTCTTTATTCTGTACTCATTAAGTAAATATATAGTATTAAAATCCTATAATGGTCAAGCGGTAGCCTTATTCATATAAAGATGAAACTCAACAGTGCTATATTTTGGGAATATTTCTGAACAATTCTACATTGAGAAAATAATTCTGTGGCTACAAAATTATTCTGTGGTAAAAAAAAAACCAAACAAACAAAAAAAACTGTGCCTAAAAATTGATGGGTATTATTTAATCAGAGAAATACACATATTTACTTATCAGATGAAAGGAATGATAAAGAGGTTCAATATACTCTAATTTGGCTGGAAAAAAACCAACTCTCGAAATTATAAATGTGTAGTCAGTCCCCTTAGCAAAACATAATATCTACTTATATATTGGATAGAAAATAGCCTAGAAAGAGGTTTTTTTTTGTGGGTTTTGTTTTTGTTTTATTTTTAAAAAAGGACAGACTAGTCCTTTGTGGTTTAAAACAGCAGTCCACAACCGGTGGTTCGCAGACCACTGGTGGTCCTGAGGTCCGAAAGGCTGGCAACCACCGTTTTAAGGAAGCCTTTGTTGCAGTGGTCGCCAATTGGTGGTCCGTGAGGTCCGAAAGGTTGGCAATCACTGATTTAAAATGTAAAGAACTGAACAATAAAATACATTAAAAAAAAAAAAATCACTGTCTTAATTCATTTCTGGGAATAATGTTCCTTACCTTGTTTAATACGTTGCTTACTTCACTAGCAAAATCTCTTGAACATACTTCTAAGTGAAAAATTTTGCCACAGTTTGATACACATGCTCCTAGAAGCTAAAAACATAAATTCCAAAGTTAAAAGGGCTCAATTTCAGCAGGTAATTTTGTGATAGAACCTAAAATCAAATCACTCACAGTCAGAGCTTGCATAGCAACATGAGGATCTTTATGGTTCACCCTCCTCATAATAGACCGAAGACAATCTTTAGGTCTAAAAAATGAGAAATGTAACACTCAATTAGTAGTACATCAGCCCCACCCCCCAACTATCATAGGCAATAGGGAGAATATGGTAAAGAAGTTTAATTTTTATTAATGGCACAACTGAAACATCGTAGACTGACAAGTTCCTTTAAATTTTTCAAACAAGATTAACAGACTCTCTTCCTTAGCAATCACAGATGAGGCATTTTAGGCTAATTCTGAGTAAAAAAAGTTTTGAAAATAAAATGATAAGACCAAGACTTTCACTTCTAGTCATGACAGAATAACTGGAATCAGACTTATACTCCTGCTATAAACAATTACAAAGCTAGAAAAACATATGTAAAATATACATTGAGGAACCTGTTTAGTATGCAAGATCACAGGCAGTGCATAATGATGATCTCTAAGAAGGAAGACAAATTGAATAAGCTAGACTTTTGCCTCAATTTCTGCCTAGAGACATTTTCCAGATAGCAATACAAGCTTCCTGCATTAAAACAGTTCCTGGATCTCAGTAAAGAGAAGGTGATCCCAAGAAGAGAACATTATCTCACTGAGTTGAGAGGACAGAAATCAGAACTCCAAAGGCTGAGGGAGCTAAAATTTGCAAGACAGAGTAGAAGGAACTACTAGTATATGAAGAAAGGGTTCTATATACCAACATAAGGGTCCATTTCAATCTGCTGTGGGAAAATCCAAGCATACAAAGGTTAAAAACTCCACAAGGCTGGGCAAAAAATGAGATCTATGTGTTGAAGAGCCAAACACAAAAGGACAAATGTTGTGTGACTCCACTTATATGAAGTACCTAAAACAAGCAAATACAGAGACAGAAAATAGAACAGGAGTCACCAGTGGCTACAGGGGTGGGCAAACTTTTTGACTCGAGGGCCACAGTGGGTTCTTAAACTGGACCGGAGGGCCGGAACAAAAGCATGGATGGAGTGTTTGTGTGAACTAATATAAATTCAAAGTAAACATCATTACATAAAAGGGTATGGTCTTTTTTTTTTTTTAGTTTTATTCATTTCAAACAGGCTGGATCCGGCCCGCAGGCCGTAGTTTGCCCACGGCTGCTAGGAGGAGGGGGGAATGAAGAGTTCTTATTAATGCAGACAGAGTTTGTTTGGGATTATTAAAAAAGTTTTGGAAATGAATAGTGGTGACAGCTGCACAGTACAGTAAATGTACTGAATTACACTGAATTGTACACCTAAAAATTGTTAAAATAGTAAATTTCATGTTACTTGTATTCTGCCAAATAAAAGGGGGGGAGGAAGAGAATGAAGTACTGATACATACTACAACATGGATGAACATTATACTAAATGAAGCTGGTCCCAAAAACAACACATATTTTATGATTCAACCACATAGTGTATGATTCCATTTATACAAAATGTCTAGAATAGGTAAGACCATACTGATAGGAAGTAAATTAGTGGTTTATAGGGCTGAGGAGAGATGGGAATGAAAGAAAGTGCTAAGGAATACAGGTTTATTTTGGGTGTGATAAATATTCTGTAATTAGATAGTAGTGACAGTTGCACAAACATCTGAATATACTAAAAACTAATGAATTGATAGATTTCATGGTTTGTGAAGTAAATATGTAAATATAAATACACAAACAAAAGAAAAAACATTATCAAATGATTTGAATTCTAATGAGCCCTAGAAATTTTGACCAGTAAAAATAATTATCCTAGGAAAATTCTTTAAGAATGGAAAAAACAATTATCAAGCACTGTGATAAAAAGGGGGGGAAAAACCCTTCTTAACAGAGAAAAATTAGAATAAAAAATAGAAACATCTGTTCCTAAGGATGTTTCATTGTCTGTTGGGAAGTTTTACTTGAAGAGTATGGGATAAGAGGAAAAATATAAATAAAAGAGGTAATGTTTATTGACTACTCATTATGTGTCAAGCATTCAACTATCAACGATCCTAAAGCAACTACTACTGCTCTTCAGTGACTGAAGATAATATACTTTCATTCTGCATATTGCGTAGAATAGTGCCATCAGTATGGTTGATGCTCAATAAAAAGCTGTTGAAATATCAAGCTATACTCCAAAGCCACTGTAATCAAAACAGCCTGGTACTGGCACAAGAAGAGGCATATAGATCAATAGGACAGAATAGAGAACCCAGAAATCAACCCAAGCCATTATGCTCAATTAATATTTGAAAAAGTAGGCAAGAATACACAATGGAGTCAAGACAGGCTTTTCAATAAATGGTGTTGGGAAAACTGGACAGATCCATGCAAGAAAATGAAACTAGACCATCAATTTACACCATGTACAAAAATAAACTCAAAATGGATAAAAGACTTAAATGTAAGTTGTGAAACCATAAAAATCCTAAAAGAAACCATAGCAGCAAAATCTCAGACATCTCTCGTAGCAATATGTGTGTGGCTACATCTCCTAGACCAAAGGAACAAATGAGAAATAAACAAATGGGACTACATCAAAATAAAAAGCTTCTGCACAGCAAAAGAGACTATCAACAAAATGAAAAGAAATTCCACTGTATAGGGGGATATATTTGTCAATGATACATCTTAGAAGGGTTTAATTTCCAAAATATATAGAAAAATTCATACAACCTAACAACAACAAAAAAAGACAAACAATCCAATTAAAAAATGGCCAAAGGGCCTAAATAGACACTTCTCCAAAGTGGACATACAGATAGCCAAGAGACATATGAAAAAATGTTCAAAGTCACTGATCATCAGAGAGATGCAAATTAAAAGGACAATGAGGTATCACCTCAAACCCGTCAGAATGGCTACCATTAACAGATCAACAAATGACAAGTGCTGGCGAAGACGTGGAGAAAAGGGAACCCTAGTACACTGCTAGGGGAATGCAGACTGATGCAGACACTATGGAAAACAGTGTGGAGTTTCCTCAAAAATTTCAAAATAGAACTGCCATTTGACCCAGTGATCCCACTTGTAGGAATTTATCCTAAGAAACCTGAAACAACAATCAGAAAGAATGCATGCACCCCTATGTTCATAGCAGCACAATTTACAATAGCTAAGATCTGAAAACAGCCCAAGTGACCATCAGTAGATGTGGATAAAAAAGCTGTGGTAAATCTACATCACGGAATACTATGAAGCTGTAAAAGGAATGATCTCTTACTCTTTGAGATAGCATGGAGGGACCTGGAGAGTATTGTGCTAAATGAAATAAGCCAGTCAGAGAAAGACAAGTATCACATGATCTCACTTTTATGTGGACAAAATAGACCCAGAGACATAGAAGCATGGAACAGACTGATGAATCTCAGAGGGAAGGCAGGAGTTAGTGGGAGGGTGGGTGGGGAGAGATTAACCAAAAACTTACATGCATATATGCATAACCCATGGACACAGACAATAAGTACTGTAGTGAAGGCCTTGGAGCTGGGGGCGCAGGTTCAGGAGGGAGGGGGCCAATGGGGGAAAGGGAGACATCTGCAATACTTTCAACAATAAAGATAAATTTTAAAAAATCTATACTAATAAAAGGTCAATATGCTAATTAAACCAGACATCTTCCAGACATCCTTCCAGACATCCTTACAAACAAAGCCATGGTGGTGGGGGCCGAGGCAGAGGTGGTTAGGGGTGATCAGGCCAGCAGGGAAGAGCAGCTGGGGCAATCAGGCAGGCAGGCAGGCAGAGTGGTTAGGGGTGATCAGGCAGGCAGGCGAGTGGTTAGGAGCCAGTGGTCCCGGATTGGAGAGGGTGTAGGCCGAGCTGAGGGACACCCCCCCTCGACGCACGAATTTCGTGCACCAGGCCAGGCCTCTAATAATACATAAAAAAATTAGCATACCTATTTGAACCTTAAAAAATAATTAAAAAATAAATAAAATAGCCCTGACTGGTTTGGCTCAGTGGATAGAGCGTCAGCCTGCGGACTGAAAGGTCCCAGGTTCGATTCCAGTCAAGGGCATGTACCTTGGTTGCGGGCACATCCCCAGTAGGTGTGCAGGAGGCAGCTGATCGATGTTTCTCTCTCATCGATGTTTCTAACTCTCTATCCCTCTCTCTTCCTCTCTAAAAAATCAATAAAATGTATTTTAAAAATAAATAAATAAAATAAAGAGCTGTTGAGTTAAATATAGAAAATACTACTTTTCACTGTTGTACCATAGTATTTAGAATTAAAGTCTCCCTTATAGAGCCATTTATCAATTTCTGCATATTTTCCACTGAATTTGCTTTCTATGTGAAAAATGCACATACTTTCATAAAATTTATTTCTTAGAATTATAATAAGACAATGATAAGGGAAAGATGAACAATAAGTAGTACTGGGAGGAACACAGCATGTGAGAAAAATGACATGGTAATAAACACAAATGAAGTATTTTCTAAAAATTCATGCTACAATAAAATCTGCATGTGCATTTAAGAGTGTACCAATGGTTTCTATCACCTACCTTTGTAAGGGTAATCAAATCCTCATCTCTCTTAAAAACTTGTCAAAACCTCATTTTGATATTTTAAAACTTTTTGTATGATATATTCTCTCTCTTCCTTATTTTGAGATGGGAAAACAAAATAAGAAGTGAAATACAAGCAAACAAAAAACAGGAAAGGGGAATTCTCTCTCCCAATTTTCCAACCACAAAATAACTGTTTTTCTTCCATGTGATAAACAGAAATAGCATATATCACACTATTGTAAAATGTAATGAAATTGCACCATTCCTAGGATTTGTTTGAAAAGTCAAGATTATAAAGGAAAAACTGCAGTTCATCAACTGTTCTTGATTAGGGGACTATCTGTTGGAGAACATACTCTGCCATCTCTCAATTATGCTCAATACAGGCAACTGTTCCTTAATTATTAAAGCAAAATGTTACTTTTAGCACCAGCTAAAGAAGTTAGCTTGCATATAGGGCTATGTTGTTCAAAACGTGCATATTCTGAGCAAGAATCACACTCACAGTGAGACATTCACAGTTTATAAGAGAAATGGGGACTGTAATTG